TCATAACATTCACATCAAGTGATCCCAATTTACAATGCGTTTGATAATAACAATCATGCAAAATAAACTTAATTTATAATGTAAATTATTTTTATGAAACAGAAAGAGTATTATTTTATTTTACGATTTTAAACTGTAGTTGTGACGAAAATGTAAGGTCATAAGAATAGCAAGACCCTATAGTTGTGACGAAAATGTAAGATCCTAAGAATAGCAAGACCTTACATTATACTCCCTCCGGTCCTTATTATAAGGCATTTTGATTTCTTCCTATGTTTAACTTAGGATGTTTTTTTAATTAGAAAGAAAATTTTAAAAATAGATTTTCACATTCGTTGTGTTCTCATAATTATTATGAAATATTTTTAAAGTTTTTATTCCAATTAAAAAGATATTTTAAGTGAAACCTATGAGGAAATCAAAATACCTTATAATAAGGACCAGAGGAGTAATGCACAGCCATGCGCATTTGTATAACATGTCATTCATGAATTAATGGGATTTTTTCCTTTAACCAAAATTTTCCTTTTTCTTGAATCTCGAATTCTAGAAAGAATCCAACCAAGCAGTATTATTGAAGACATTTGGAAAACACATTCAGTCGTCAATTGCTTATTTATTGATTTAGTGCTCGAATTCAGAAGCATTTTCAGAGTTCAAACACTCTTCACCATTATGCTGATTGATATTGAACGATCATTTGTGCTTAATAAAGTGGTCAAACAGAACTCGTGAATTATGTGTGCAGAGGTGAATAATGTAGGTCATGTGTAGAAAACTTTTCCATTTCCATTAATGTTGTTATTGTTATTTTTCTTTTTGGTTTTAGTTTAATAATTCTAAATAGTACTCCTTCTTTCCCAAAAACAATTTCAGTACGAATTTCAAAATTCAAACTAAACTTTTTGTTTTGTTTTTTTTTTTTTTTTGGACGGAAAGAGTATAAAACATCGAAATAATATGTCTTCCTTACATATATAGAATAGAATTTAAGCCTCGGACAAATTGGACCTAAGTATCATATTGCTCTCAAACCATTGAATTTATCAATTATTTAAAAAAAAAAAATCTTAGGTTACAACACCTAATTTTTCCTATAATGAATAATTTTCACCAAAAAAACAAATAAATTTGATAGTCTAAGGTCAAACTCAAGTTAATATCTTCATAAAACTGATATCCAATTTTATTAAAGGGTAAAAAAGTTACCGGCAAATATAGATCTTAAGTCCATACTCCATAGAGCTATGTCCTTTTTTCTTTTTTTTCTTTTTTTTGCGCCTTGTTCGTTTCAGTTAGACAGAATAATCAGGGGGGTTTTCCCTAAAAAATTTAATTAAAATAAAGGTGGACAAATTTAAATTTTTCAGAATATTTGTGGACAGGAATATATCCCATGGATTTCCGAAATCCGAGTTATAATTAAAATTAAACATTCGGATTTCGGAAATCAAAATCTACATTTAATAATAAAATAATAATTAAATAAATTTTGTTAAATAATAGTTTTTAAAAAATCTTACATGAACAGTGCCGTTCGGATTTGCGTAATCCGAGTCCCATTAAAAGATCATAAATTGAGGCACGAAATATTTGAACTCAAATAAAAAGGAGTTTATGACCTGGACTCCTTAAATAAACAGTAGTACTCGGATTTCCGAAATCCGAGTTCACAAAAAGAAAAAAAATAATAATAAAATCAAGGCGCGAAATTTTTGAAATCAAAGAATTAGAATACCGTAATCCGGTTACATGTATTAGTGTTATGTATTATTTGTACATACTAGTATTATGTAGTACATTAATATTATTACTCATTATACATTATTGGTACTATTGTTATTTATTACTGTTAAATCTGTTAGTCAGTATATATTATCATTAACTCAATATAATTTATCTGTACTAGTGTAATGTACTATTTGTACGTACTAGTATTATGTAGTACATTAATACTAATACACATTATACATTACTGGTACTATTGTTATTTATACTGTTAAATCTGTTAGTCATTATATATTATCACAAAACAGTATAATTTATCTGTACTAGTGTTATGTACTATTTATACGTACTAGTATTATGTAGTACATTAATACTAATACCCATTATACATTATTGGTACTAGTGTTACTTATTACTGTTAAATCTATTAGTTATTAGATATTATCATAAATTCAGTATAATTCATCTGTACTAGCGTTATGTACTATTTGTACGTACTAGTATTATGTAGTACATTAATACTAATACCCATCATTAATGGTACTAGTGTTACTTATTACTGTTAAATCTATTAGTTATTAGATATTATCATAAATTCAGTATAATTCATCTGTATTAGTGTTATGTACTATTTGTACGTACTAGTATTATGTAGTACATTGATACTAATACTCATTATACATTAGTGGTATTACTGTTATTTATTATTATTAAATCTGTTAGTTATTAAATATTATCATTAATTCAGTATAATCTATCTGTACTACTGTTATGTACCTTTTAAGCAAATAATCGCATTTTCAGAATCTGAGTCAAGCAAAAAATTATATTTCCAAAATAAAGGCCATAGGGTTTAGGTTTTAACTTCAGATTTTCCAAATCCGAGTGTTACTTATACTCGGATTACCAAACTCCGAGTGTAATCTATAAATGGATTACCAAAATCCGAGTGCAACATATACTCGCATTACCGAAATCCGAGTGTAACATATACTCAGATTTAGGGTTTAGGGTTTAGGTTCGGATTTCTAGAATCCGAGTTTATCAGGGAAACATGGAAGATTCGGATTTCAGAAATCCGATTCGTGTCCAAAAAATTACCAACACTTGTACAAAAAAAACTTTCCTCAAAAATTAATATTTTAATCATAAAGTCGGATTTCAGAAATCTGAATTATGATTAATTATGACAGATGAAAATTTTACTTAGTTTTAGTTTTAACTAAAATAAATTCAGATTTTCAAAATTCGTTTTCTATTAAATTCGGATTTCCTAAATCCGAGTTTACCCTGAATTCGGATTTTAGAAATCCGAAGGATATAGATTTGTCCACAGAAATTTCAAAAAAATTAATTTGGTCTACCTTTTTTTAAAGAAAATTTTTTAGGTCAAAAACTCGAATAATCAGTATCAACCTAATAAGCGTGCACATTTTTGTTGTCCAGCCCAAAAAGATGCACAAGGGTATGTTTGTTTCGTTTTTTAGTGTGTATTTTTAGATATTTTTCGTATTGAGAATGTAAAAAAGTGTATTAAAAATGTAAAAATGTATGTTGGGATGAGACAGTTATTATTATTTAATTCTGAAAAAATCAACTAAAAATGAAAACAAACAAAGCCTTGGTCACTTTCATCATAAATTCGCTACCATCTCGACTCTCGAGTCATAGTCGGGAAGGAAATATGTATTGTTACCACCAAAATAATAGAATTTGGCTACCTCAATAATCTGCCTAGCTATCACATGAAAATAAACACTCGTTTTGTTTTTTCAATAATAATAAAACAAAAGATTTTTTTTTTTTGAAAAACAAAGCTATTTTATTTTTTGTTGAAAAACAAAAGTACAGATGTAACAAATAGCTTCGCTCCAACTCTAATATATTCTTTTTATTCTAACATAGTTAAAACTTCATTGACCTAGAACAACTAAACTTCCTAGGCAACGAGTTAAAGTGGAGTGAGTGAACTGTGTTGTTTGTCCTTGCGAACTAGCTATCTTAGTTAATTCGTTGGCAACGGCATTCACTTCACGGTAGATGTGTCTCATTTGAAATCCATGCTAGCAAGGAGATTTTTAATTTTTAAAACAAAAGAACTTATTTATTGTGTGACTCTAATATAAGAAAGACTCCTTTTGGCCTACATAGATATTGCATCTGTCCCGAAATTATTTTTCAGTTTCTATTTTTATTTTTATTTCAAATTATGCAAAAAGTAAAATCTCAAACTGGACAAAAATTTTAAGACAGAGAGAGTTTCATACTACTTGATTGATCACCTTCCCATGAATAATAAATCTATTCAATAATATTATAAACTCGAAAAATATCAACTTATAGTTCTGAATTTTTAATACAAAATTTAAACGTATCGAAATGGACTTTCTACATTTATGCCCATTAAGCGTCAGTTCTTTCGTGTCAATTTAACAAATGGCAAAACATGAGGCCCCCCGAAACTTGCTTTTCTTTACGTATTGTGCTTTACTTGTGACAATTTTGTTATAATAGGTTTCCGTGAAAAATGAAGTTTCGGTCAAAGTCTAAGGACTAAAATGGTATTAATTATGAAGTTTGGTTCACAATCGGCTACACAGGTATTACAGCTTATTTGATCCTTTAGTTTTTTAATTAATTGTTAAGTGCCCAACAATTGTTTCTTCCAAGAATTAACTGTAAGAAATTCTTTCTTTGTTTAACAAAATGCCCCTTAAATGATCATCTCGAGCACATTACAACCTTCATTATGTCAATTTGTATAAATCACCCACAATTTTGGCTACCCAATAGAAATTGATCCCTATAAAGACAAATTTATTCATGAGCCAATTCTTATACCAAAAAAACGCAAATATGTCATACAATTGAATTACGTGCTTTCCCTCAAATCCGAGTTAGAACCACCAAGGACCAGTTGTAGAGAAAAAAATGGCATAATTACTAATGATGTACAATCTTTATATCGATATAATTCATCTATTACAAGATTAAGAAAACACAATATTCTATAAATAATTTGTAAAAAATTATTCTATAATGATTAATATCAAAAGATTCTACACGATTTTTTTGTTAATTACATAAATAAAGAATATCCAATGATCATGTTGAAGCATAGGAAAACATCAGGGGTTATTTTTGCAATTTTCATCCCTCCATAAAATATGCCACAAGCACGTGAAGTCTGTGAAGAATGAAGATGGTAACGTAGTGAAAAAATTTTCGTATTTAATAAATCTTCGAGGGGTTTCGTTGAAACAAACATATACATAAGCGGTTGTTTAAGTAATTCTCCCGATTAAACAATAAAAGATTGTCTTCCACAGGGGTATCCGTACGATGTTAACATTTCGGACAGGACAAGATTGATGGTTTTCGCTATAATCGAACCTCTACCCATTTTTGAATCATATATTTTTTGACAATCTATCGCGTGATGACAAGTGATTTGAACAGTGAAATTGTTCCAGAAATCCAATCCGTGTATAAAGGAATGACTCTACTAAGAAACGGGGGTCAGAGAAAACAGGAAACTGCTATCAGTTACATATATCAGCCAGAGCTCATTTTCAAGCATAAATAGCCTAATTATAGGACGGGGAACTGTTTTGAGCTCTTTTAATCAAGTGGGTTTTTCTTCTCTAATCTCCATCTTCAAGTTAATTTCTGTTTTCTTGTTAATTGTCATTGACTCATTGTTTTGATGGAGATAAGGTTCTTTGTTTAAACTTAAGATGCATATACTCTAATTTAAGACTCAGGAAGTTTAAGTTCAACTTCTGTATATTTCATATTTCCTCGTTCAATTGTCTCTGCATATCTATTGGCTCAATCTCTTTTAAGCTTTTTAGTACTGGAAAAAATTAGTCTTTCTGGTCATCGGGTATGTTTGCTGTTCTTGGTAAGTTTCATCTGCCTCAAAACCGAATATATATCAATTTGTAGCCTGTGATTCCCTCAGCCCACTAGTTTTCGTATTCGTTTTTATCGGGTTTTCTGCAGATTAGCTAGGATCAGTTTTGATCATATTCTGTTGCTTCAAGTTCATTTTTGTCTCTTTTAAAATTGGATTGCCTCAACAATTTGTTTGAACTTTGAACTCCCGACCTAGTGGCTTCAATTATTCATTCAGTACTCATTTTGGAAAGTTGCTCTTTCCGTGGTATTTTGAATGCTTCATTCATAACTCTGTAAAGTAATTCTTTACATTTCATACAGGAGTAATTCTTTACATTTCACACAGGGTTCAAATTCATCGCCTTTGTTCGTAGAAATGATTGGACAAATAGCGGTTGGAGTGGCCGCAAGTTTTCTGGTTTGGGCTTATATGTCACTGAAGCCTCCCCCTTCAAGAGTTTGCGGCACACCAGGTGGTCCTCCGGTGACTTCACCGAGAATAAAGCTCAGTGATGGGAGATATTTGGCTTACAAAGAGGCAGGGGTTAGCAAAGAAAAGGCCAAGCACAAGGTCATTCTGATTCATGGTTTTGACACCTCTAAGGATTTGAACTTCCCGGTTCCTCAAGTATGTAACGTTGGCGAACTTTTGCCTTTCTATTCACTTGCATTCTGATCAGGTTGGATTTTGAAGTGCTTGCTATAATGGCACTTGATGTTCCGTAGGTTATATTAATCACTGAAATTTCCGTTCCTATGCCAGAACTCTGCAAAAGAAATTTTATATCCAATGAAATTAGCATGAATCTTTAGACTGTTGAAAACAAAGTTCTGTTTTATAAATATAAGTCTTCTCGATTCAATCTAGTAAAAATGCTTCATCCAACTTTTGTAGAGACGGTGGATAAATTAGAAGGTTCAGAGATTTTTTGGTTTACTCTCTAAAGATGAGATTAACTAATTAGTTTGCTTCAGAACCATTGAAATCCACTTTGGTTTACAACTAGGGAGTGATGAAGATTGTATTTAGGCTTCCAAGTGTTATTTATTCAAGATATGCATTGATGACTGAGCCACCTGAAAGTTGTATGCAGATTTTTCACTAATGTTGCGCTTTACCTTACTCATTTTCTAGGCCTCATATTTTCTCAGGTTCTCAAGAAAGACTTAAATGAGTCCTGGTATTCTCTATGCAGGATATCATAGAGGAACTTGGGATCTATTTTCTCTCATTTGATCGGGCAGGTTATGGAGATAGTGATCCGTACCCATCGCGCTCAGTAAAGAGTGAAGCTTATGATATTCAGGAACTGGCTGACAAGCTGGAAATAGGCTCCAAGTTCTATGTTATTGGATTCTCCATGGGGGGATATCCTGCTTGGAGTTGTCTGAGATACATTCCTCATAGGTACTACTCTTTCTGTGTGTTGATCCACAAAATGAAGTATCAGCTAGCTTAAATGAGATACCTAATGCTCTCTGTCCCAGCAAGCCGAAAAACTGTAATTGTTCACTTGAGACATCTTTTAGGACAGCAAGCCGAAAAACTCCATATACTTCAAATCACAGTACAATTACTGTTTCAAATGTATGATTGTGGTGATTTTCTGCGCATTTCTTCATAGCATCTTCAATATGAATTCCGCTTTTAGTTCGTTTTCAAAGAGAAATTACTTTTCATACCTGTTGATGTTAGATAAATGCCTGTGCAGGTTGTTGGGGGCGGCACTAGTAGTCCCTTTTGTTCACTATTGGTGGCCATGCCTCCCTGCTGAATTAGCTAAGCAAGCCTTCCGGAAGCTACTTCCACAAGACCAATGGACATTTCGGGTTGCACATTATGCTCCATGGTTGTTCAATTGGTGGATGACACAAAAATGGTTCCATTCCTTAAGTCTTCTGGAAGGAAACATGTCAATTTTATGCAGCCAGGATCTAGAGATGGTAAAGAAGTTATCAAGCAAGCCAAATCCTGGACAGGTAGCTCAATTGCCTACTTCTCGTTCGATCATGAATTATGAGGATTGCTTCTTATGAGGGCAAGTGATTGATCGATCTCTAATTCTCTTGAAACATTCGCAGGAGAAAATCAGACAGCAAGGGCTTTATGAATCATTGTATCGCGATATAATGGCTGGTTACGCCCAATGGGAATTCGATCCTGCTGATATACCCGATTTGTTCCCTAACAAAGAGGGCTCAGTTCACATTTGGCAAGGCTGTGAAGACAGGATTATCCCATTCGAAATCAATCGTTTCATAGCGAAGAAACTTCCATGGATTCAGTATCATGAGGTTCCGAATGCAGGGCATATGATGATGTTCGATCCCAAAGTATGTGAATCTATAGTTAGAGAACTTCTGCCAGCAGAATGATCATGACTATTATGATCAACTTCAGCACTTGGAAAGTTGCAGAACATACTACAGCTAGCTAGCCTAATCAATAGTATTATTGAAGTTTACTAATAGAAGCTACGTAATTTAATTTCACAGGTTTTGGCTTTTTGTTTAATTTGCTTTCTTTATTATAAAACTTGCATAACATTCTGCCATTAATGAAATTTCTCTTTTTTTTACCCTCTCTCCTTTTTTTTTTTTAAAGCCGCACTAAGCACACAAAATAACTACTTAGTCCATTTTACCTCTGACATGATTACCCAAGTTTTACTTCCCATCTCAGAAGCCAATGCTTAAGAGTATATCTGTCCATTGACAAAAAAAAAACAACAGTACCATAAGTTTCTTGATTAAATGGATCAGTAAGAAACGGAGTCATAAGTTACAAGTACCAAAAGCTCGTGTCCATGTTCTGGCTCAACCGTCAAGGCATCATGTTTTGAAGTTTGCAAAAGTACTAATGGGGAAGCTTCCTCCTGTATTATTTCAGGAATGATTTTCTTAGTGTGGTTATACCTCCCTGAAGGTGCCATTGAGGCATTGATTGAAATAGAACCCCTGATGCTTTGAAGTTCTTCAAATGCTCGTCCTTCTGTCTCAGGAACCGATTCCACAATGAACAGAACCACCCTGGAAAGAAGTGATGGCGAATACGAAAAAAAGATTCCTGCAAGGATTACATCTCAGCATCAGACGATATCCAAATGTCCGATGGACAGCGTATCAATTAACAACGTTTATTGAAGGGCATCACCTGATGAATTCCATGAAGTAAGAAACCGGATGCGTTGGCTTACTGTGTGACAACGAAAGCAGTTGCCTAGAGTTACAGCAGGCCTTCATGCAGTGCCTTTCATATTTGTATAGATGATCTGTGGAAGGTAAAGATCATTTCAGATCTCAGTTGCAAGTCTAGTAAGTATGTCATTGAGGCATTTTGTGGAATGCCATTGAAAATAGTAGCTCTGACATGATCGCCCAATAGTACTCCCTTTTCCAGGAGCCAATGCAGGAGAGTATACACATTCAATAATGAAAGTTTCTCCACATAATTAGTGTTCCGTTTGGGTTTTCATTTTTAGTTCAAATTGTTCTAATGTGAAATTTCAAACTGGACAATAATTTTGGGACACAGGGAGTATCAAATTGCCAAATTGGTTGGGTATCACTGGCCCATTATAGTACTCAAAAAAGGGCCCCAATCTGCTATTGCAAGAGTTTTGTTCGCTAAAACATCAAAATGGCACAGTTACAACACAAGAAGATGAGGGGAAGAAACTATGTATCAATAGTCCGTAATTTTTTCTAGACCAAACTAGTTGAGTAATCGAATCATTTCAAGTTATTTTTTTTCGAAAGGGATTTCAACTTTCAAGTTGTTAATAAACACCGTGATTATAAATTATTATTATTTTTTTGGTTAACTAAATAATTAAATTACACTTTACCTCAGGGTGCTTCTCATACTATTTATTACTCCCCTCTGTCCTAAATTGAGTTATGAGATCTGTCTTATTCTTTGTATAAATCTCAAGATTTCATATGAAATATTTTTTGAGACAGATATTGTAATATACTCTCAGAGAGAAAAATATTTTCCATCATGAAGTTCAAATCTCTCAAACAAAATAATACATTATTACCTCAAAATGGAGAGTACTGGAGACTTTATGATCCACCGGATAAGATAAAATGGTAACTAAAATATAGGAGTAATGTTTTTGGAGTCTTCCATTCACCAAGTGTATTAGTTTAATGTTATGAAAAGGGTGTTAGGCGCGGTAAAGCTCTAGTTAAAGGATATTCTTGGTTGTAGGCAATATATAAACCTCGCACATTCCATTATTCCAATTTTGCTTAATACGGCGGGTTATGAATTGTATGTTAAGTCACTTCATTTTGCAATTCTCTCCAATTTTGCGTCATTTTCTTCAATGAAAATGATGCAAATGAGTTAGCATCAGTGTACATGCATATGATGTGATACTACTTGATTACAAATGGGCGTCAATAACTAATTAATTAATTAGGATTCGATGTTTTCTCTCTTTCTTTTTTTTATATTGCATGGTGTCTACCGTCGACAACAGTAACTAATCCCCCTCGCTCATGATAGGCACCTCGATGTTTTCTCAATTTGATATTTCACTTTGTTATAATATTTTGAAGAAAAAAAATGGCATCGTACTCATATTATATGCATATAATTTTTTAAACTTCAATCGCAACAGTTTGGTAAATTACCTTATTATTGTGGCACGCTGATAAAGTGCGTCAAGTGTTTTCATCGTGCAAAAATAATCATGATTATGTTCTTGGAGCTTAGAATATCTTTATTGAAGCTGCTATGTTTGACTATTAATTTTTTGGTAAAGAAAGATATACAATATATGTAAATAATTTCTGGTCGGAAAAATTAGCGTTCATACCCAAAATTTTGAACTTATCGTCAATTTTACCTTATTGATTTTCGGTTATTCAATTTTATCCTTACTGTTTGAAATGTTTGTCAATTCTATCCAATTGGCCCAATTTCTGTTAAATTTAAGGATTTCTGTTAGTTTTTAACAAAAAATACCCTGATTGTCTCAGAATATTATAAAAATAACCCTAAAAATATAAAAATTACAAAATAGTCCCTTTTATTCATTTTTTTTCTATTTCATTTTATTTCTCTTTATTACTTTTCATAACCATCAAAATATACTATATGATCTTTAAAAAAATTATTTATTTTCAAAATCTATTTTTCATGTACAACACATGTGATTTGGGTTGGGGGGAATTTTGTCATTTTAAATTTTTAAAAAATTTTAATTTTATTTTTTTATTCGTTATCTTTTGAGATTATTATTTTTTATTTCCTGACTTGTATATATTGATACTAGTATAATTATTAAGTTTTAATAATTAATATACCTTTTTTATTTCTTAGATTATAAAACATTAACATAAATAAAATGAGGAAGAAAAAATCAAGTTGAAAAAAACATGAAAATTAATTGTTTATCATTCTATACAAAAATCGAAAAAATCTTTTAAAAAAATCTGTAAAGAGAATTCTTTCCTCTTTGACTTCCTCTAATTCATAGGTGAGTTACGAAACATAATTTTACTTGATCTTGCATAAAATAATTATATAGTTCATTGCAATAATAATAATATAAAAATTAGACAATCATTTGAAACATGAAAAGGTGCTTATTTAATTAGTCCACAACGATTCATTTCAGTAAATTTTGGTTAACACTGTTTTTATTCTTTTTTAATAAATTTTTTTTGGCCGATTGACAGTTGCTAAACTACATAAGCAATTATTGAATTTCATGAAAAAGATAAATACGTGTATTTTTTAGTAAAATAATTACTAAATTATACTGCATGACTTGTATTATTTTTATTACAAAGAACAAGATAATTATTTTATGCTAGATCAAGTAAAATTTATGTTTCATGACTTACCTATGAAATAGAGGAAGTTAAGAAGAAAAGACTTTCCCTTGCAGTTTTTTTAAAGGTTTTTTTTGCTTTTTTTTTTTTAAGAATGATAAACTATTATTTTCATGTTTATTTCAAGGTAAGTTTTTCTTCCTCATTTTCTTTATGTTAAAGTTTTTAAAATCTATGAAATGAATCGGTAAATTAATTATTAAAATTCAATGATTATTCTAGTATAGTATATGCAAGTCAGGAAATATAAAAAAAAAAGAAATTAAAATTTTAAAAATTTAAAATGACAAAATTACCCATTAACCCAAATAACATGTATTGCACATGAAAAATAGATTTTAAAAATAAATTATTATTTTCTTAAATATCATATAGTAAATTTTGATTGATATGAAAAGTAATAAAAAGAAATAAAATGAAATAGGAAAAAATGAATAAAAATGGACTATTTTATTATTTTTATATATTTCTAATGTTATTTTTACAATTTTCGGAAACTATCGAGGTGTTTTTGGTTAAAAACTAACGGAAATCTGTTAAGTTTAACGAAAATTGGGCCAATCGGACGGAATTGACAAAAATTTCAAACAGTAAGAATAAAATTGGTTAACCAAAAATTAATAAGATAGAATTGACGATGATCCAAAAGCTTTGAGTATGAACGCCAATTTTTTCATGTCTGGTCTATTTTCAAATTATTAGGTACTAGCCCAATAAGGCTTCTAGTAGGGATCACAACTAGTAGATTAATTGAAAAAAAAAAATTAATGAACAACTTAAAAAGATAATCTACAATTTCCATAAAATTTTAATGAGAAAATCGTTGCTGAAATTAATCTTTCCAGTTGACTTTTTGACAATTTGTTAATGAAATGGGGAAGTGTCGACCAGAAACAGCTGGTTCTTTTTCGTAGTCAATAATTTTTCAAACTGGAAGTTGGAATCTGGAGGATGCAATAATGAACAAAAGTAAAGCGGAGAAAATTACCGCATGAATTCAGTGGAATATTAACAAATTCATGGAGATATTTCACAGAGAAAAAAAAAATTGCTTAGAAATAAATTTTGTTTCAGGAACTGACTAATTTGGGATACTTAAACCATCTTACTCGATTTTTCACCTACTGAATAACAAATGTCTATGCTAAAATGAAATGGAAACATCGGTATCAGAAAAAAAGGAAAAAAAAAAACCATTATCCAAATGGATGGGGATTTCTTGTCGTAAACAAACTGTTTTTGTCTAATTCCTTAAACATTGTAATTCCTTAGTCCCCACGATTTAGATAATAATTTTTATGTATTACACAACAATTTCTTATTGCAAATTGCAATTTGTCACACTCAGCTATAAGACCAAACCTTATGATTTCTCTTGTTAGTCATTTACACATGATGTTGAAATTACGAAAAGGGTTTCAAAATTTTCGATCGAGTACAATCAATAATTAGATACTATCCTCCATTGATTCACAATTTCTTATTTCCACATCTATATAGTTAATTTCTTTAACCAAATTAATCCAAGGATGTTACAATAGTAAAAATGTATGTATCCTCGTCTCTCGTCATTTTCTCGAACTTCTTAACTGTCCAACCTAAAATAATTTTATTGTCGTATCAGATTCTTATACCAATATTATTTACGTCATTATGTCTAATAAGATTATTTTATAGTATATGCTCTTCAATCAAAGCATGATCGGAACTACTCGCTATTATTTTACGTGTGTTTACCAAGAAAACAAAATTGCTGAAAATTAAAGATAATATTAAAAAGAAATACATAAAGAAATTCATCGCTTCTTTCCTGTAGCTTTCAGGCCTAGTACATATGTTGCAAATCACCATTATTAAAATTGAGAACTGCCAAAATTCTTTTTACCAAGAAGTTGCACTCGTTTGTCTTTCATGAGAAGATGGGGGGCAAATGAAAAAGCTTGAGTCTTTAAGATACTCTTTATTTAAATGTTCCTTCTAAATAATGTTAGGAATTTAAAGTATCAATAAAGTTGTCCACATATTAAATTGCCTCACATGCTATTTTCTTTTACATTAAATTTTCATCACGTAGCCAGTATTTAAAGATGCTAAATGATTTAACATTGTGATAGAAATAAGAGAGTTGTTTTTCTTTTTCAACTTTCTAAAATCGGGTTAAAAATGTGATGTGGAAGATCGGTCAAATTAAATTGTTACAGAATATAATATTTAGTTTGTAACAAAAAGTAAATAAATAAATAAATAAATAAAATTCAATCCTCATGAACAAACTGATCTTCTCGTATTAATGATTTGATCACCACATTTTCATATATTTTTTTCCCAAAAAGGATAAATAAAGAATGTACTAAAATATGTGAGAGGATTTTTTTTTTTTTAATTAACTAATCATAAATCTCAATCATCAAGTGAAAAATGTTGGAAGCCTGGAAGGTATGAATATGGAGGGAAAAAAATAAAGGAAAAAGGTGGTAATTAAGAAGCTTCCTCGGTAAAGAGAGGTTGGCCCTCGTGAGGTTCAATTCGGATCATTGCGCCTCAAACAAAATCAGTGCCGTAAGTACAAACTACAAAGGGCTAAACTAAAATCAAATCTCTTTTTCTTTTCTAAATTTTTTTTCCAAAAAAAAAATAAAAATCTGAAACTCATATAATGGAAACCAGATTTCCAAATCTTTCGAGTTTAATTAGAATTTTACCTCACATTTTAGAGGATTGGGTATTGATATCTTTCAAAGTGCACATTTTGAAAATGATGCATTTTTCGGGTTCTATTGGAAGAATCGAATTGATAGCAATTAAATAATATAATTTATCAATTATGCAAATGAATAGTGATACATAGATAATATGTAATTGCTTTTTGAAAATGTCATTACTAATTCGTTTAGGCTTTGTTTGTTTGGTTTTTTGGATGGTTTTTTTTAGATTATTTTAATAATAACTGTCTCATCCAAATATATGTTTTTACATTTTCAATACACTTTTTTACATTCCGAATACAAAAAACACCTAAAAACACACACTAAAAAAACGAAACAAACATACCTATTAGATTTTAGGATAGAATTGGAGTGGATGTTCTATTTTATTTTATGTTCGAGATAAAATGGCGATCAATTTTCGAACACTAACAGAGCCGTGCAAAAAATCATTGGCAAAAGTAAACAGAAGGATTTTTGTTGACAGAATCTAAAATATATAAATTGATGATAGTATTTGTTGATTTTATGTCACACAAGATATATGTATCCAATATTAAATGATATATATACCCTGGTGATGTGAGTGTGTAAGATACATATACGATATAAAAAAAAAAAAAAATTCACCCATAAAAATTTTGAGATAATTAATAAATTCAATAAGTTAAATGATAAGGACTAAGTAGTTTCTACATTTCCCAAAGAGTGAAATAGACCAAATATCCAATGTATGCGATTTCGTGTTAGTAATGGATTCCATCACTCTAAAAGAATTAATTGACTATCCTTTGGCAACAAATTATCCAATGCCAATAATTTTCCTTTTGTGCTATCAATAAACAAAGAAAATATTCCCAAGAAGATACCCGTACTATAATTTTGATGCTTCCCTACCCCGACAACATACCCACGCCATTACAGCAAAAAGAGCCTGTACCATTTTGTTTTGGCAAACCCGAAATTGCACAATCACATTCAGTCGACTGTCTCAAATTCAAAAAAGCTCTACGAATCATTTCCAAAAAAAAAAAACCCAGCTTTATTATGTATCCGATTCTGATCACGTAGGGGAAGAAGACAGAGGTTTCCTCCATTTTTTGAAAAAAAGTTCCTTTCTTTTTCTTTTGTTTTTGTTTTTATTTTTGTTTTTGGGGTTTGGGAAATTACCATTGATCCTGATTGGTGTAAAAATGGTCAATTTTTGCTATCTGAAGAAAACCCGAATTTAGTTACCAGTTAAAGTCAAAAGTTTCCAGCGGTGAATTTGGATTGGTGGGTATTTGGAATCAGCAGAAGTGAATGAGATCTTTATATTTAAAAGTATCATCAAGAGTTTATAATTACAGTGTCACCACTACTACCCAGACTTCAAAAAAATACTCTTTTGCTTCTTCTCCTGAAAAACGTTCCACTAGTGAGCTCAAGTCAATCCAGGAATATATCCCTTCTGCTGAAAATTTCGGCTCAGGTGATGTTAATTGAACAAACCCATTAATTTGAATCAAAAGAAAAGTAATTTGAATTGAACACATCATTCAATTCTTTCAGAAAGTCAATAACTTTTTTGTGTTGGTTTTTTTTGGTGTATTTTTGCAGGGATGGTTTTTAGGAAGGTGATTGATATGATGATGGGTTGTCTGGGAATGAGTAATCGACCCACACTACCTTCTCCTTCTGAGACTAATGAATCACCGGAAGTGGATCTACTTCCTGCTATTAAATCACCAAGAATTAGGCTCAGTGATGGAAGATATTTGGCATACAGAGAAGTAGGAGTTCCTAAGGACCAGTCCAATTACAGAATTATTATTGTTCACGGCTTTGGTAGCTCCAAAGAGATGAACTTTTTGGCACCCGAGGTACGAACAAGTTTAAGTTGATTGATTGCTTTGATGCAGATCTTTTGGTCTTAAAATGTTACCTCTTCATTGGGTTGAATGGTTTCAAGGGGAAGATTTTTTTTACGGAAACTGTTGGTAGATGTGGCATGAAAATGTTTTGCATCCTGTATGAGTTTGCATGGTGATTTTTAATTGGCTTGGAGGATTTCAGTTTCTAAGCTTTTAAGTTTTGTTCTGTTAGTATGAAAATCTTGGACTATTGTTGATTACTGTTAGTATTATGGAGGTCTGATTTATCCATTTTGATCTGCAAACATTGTGTGTGCATGTCTGCTGCAATAGTAATTTTTTCAAACTTGAGTTTGCAATAAGTACTTATTCAATTCGGTTAAGGTTGTTTTGTTCAAATCATCAAGCTTTACTGCAGTGTTGTTGAACTTACAGAAACCACTTGCGGTTTTTATTGAACACTAATTCTCGAGGCACTAGATTGAGTTCGCTCTGTTAGCATGACTGACCACTAAAGGTTAAAGCACTTTAGTGGTATATTTGAATGGTAGAAGAACATTAGTTAATCCAGGCGATAGCACCAAATTACGTTTTAGAAGAATTTTGTGCTTAAGTTATTGTTCATGCAATATGTAAGTGCTGTTTAAATACTGTTTTCTTTTTCTATTTAAAAGATGGTACTTTATGGTATCGCTTGGGTTGTTCTTTCCTTTGAAAAGATTAATCTTGTAGAACAAACTCATTACGGTATAGTCTGCAGGAAATGCTGACTGCTTTGGGAATATACATCCTATTATATGATCGAGCGGGATATGGGGAGAGTGATCCAAATCCGAGACGATCAGTAAAAAGTGAAGCTACTGATATAGAGGAACTTGCTGATCAGTTAGAATTAGGAACCAAATTCTATGTGATGGGAGTTTCATTGGGCTGTTATCCAGTGTGGAGTTGCCTCAAACGCCTGCCACACCGGTAAAAGCTATCTCCAAAAACTTGCAAGCATTTATGTGGCAATCGTACTAGTGTAAAATATAACTGCTAATCTGAAAACATTCAGGTTAGCTGGTGCAGCGCTTATAGTCCCAATGATCAATTACAAATGGCGCACCCTGCCCAAAGATCTAGTAAAGGATGACTACAGGAAGAACCTTAGCAAATGGATTATCTGGCTTTGCCGACATACTCCTGGCTTGCTACATTGGTGGTTGACTCAAAAAGTGTTCCCGTCAGCTAATGTCCTTGATAAGAACCCTGCATTTTTCAACTCAAAGGACCTAGAGTCTTTGGGTAATACTCCTGGATATCAATTGTTTACTCAGGTAAGGTTTCCTTTACTACTTGGTACATACAGTATATGATCCTTCTTGTTCTATTTTTGGATCACAGGCACTAGGTGGTCAAATTTTTGTAGTTTGCAGCATTTATCTTCATACTCCCAACTTTTGGATTTGATGGAAAAGTGACTCTTTCTCTGGGTTTTCGTCCATTCGCAGAATGGATTTCAACAACGCCAAGTATTTGATTCCATCCGCCGCGACTGTATTGTGGCCTTCGGTAAATGGGACTTTGAACCAATGGAGCTGACTAACCCGTATCCCGAAAATGAAACCTCAGTTCACATCTGGCAAGGTTTTGAGGACAAGGTTGTGCCTGTTAAATTGCAAAGATATGTTTCAGAAAGGCTCCCCTGGATTCGATATCATGAGGTTCCTGGTGGTGGGCACATGCTTGTGTATGATAGCGCAGTATGTGAAGCCATCTTGAGGTCTCTTTTGCTTGGAGAAGATCCTCCACAGTACAGGCCCAATTAGCAAGTGAATTGTTCTTGTATTCTATCATTTGATCATGTTGTTGTAAGTTATTAAATTCATTCAAAGAAATTTTCAGTTATAGATGTTTCAACTTTCATGTTCTAAAATTAAATGTTGTGTAGATGTTCCAAGTCGAGTAAAGCCAAGTGAAAGCTTGCAAGTGCATTCTTTTGGCCAAAAGCCAAGTAAAGGGAACGCTAGTTCTAACCGCTCAAATCACTTTTGGTTCTATGTTTGATTATTTGTGTGCGCAAGCTCGCAAGCAAGTGCTTTTAGTCAGAAAGAGAACAATGGTTATACGATTATACTAAAGGAGCTTTTGCATTCTAAGTTACTGTTTCAATCCATCTTTAGCTTTTGGTGCATCAGACAAAAATTAAATTTTGGGATCATTCACAAACTGAGCCACTTTGTGCCCATCCCAAAAATATTCAGAGCATGAATCTTTTTGACTTCAATACAAAGTTTCATTACTTCATTAGTAAATTTTACCTGAGACTCGGACATGGCAGAAATTCTTTATGAAACGAAACATCTTACACTGGAAGAATCTCTTTTCGTACACTAGAAGAATCTCTTTCTAATAACTTTTTGATTCGTCTCATACTAAAGATGAGTTTGATGACTTTTCATTAACCAGGAAACTAAAAACAAGGTTAAAACCACCAGTTTGAATTGCTCGATCAAGGCGCAAGGCGGTTCGGATCACGGGGGAAAAGTGATGTCTTGCGTATGTTGTTCAGTGCGCAAAACAACATAACCACCCGCTCCAATCCAACGCCAAAACCACCATGAGGTGGAGCCCCATACCTACATGGACAGGTAATAGGTTAGATAACTATATTTTCACTCAACATATGATGCCTAAATACACATAGTTGCCTGAGATTCGACTGTCACTATCACGATTTAACTATAAAAACTACAGGGATTTCAGGAATTATAAGCTATATTAGATTACCTGAATGCATCAATATATGTAGATATCGTTTTGACGTCGATACCCAATTCCCTAGCTCTTTTTTCCAACAGCTGAGCCTCATGCACACGTTGTGCTCCAGAAATAATTTCCTCCCCTGATCAAGACAAACAGTTCAAACTTAGCACCAATGTTTGTTTAAGACATCAAAGTGTTTCCAGAGCATCAAGTGGTTTCAATCACACAGCTTTAATGGAAACCACCATCAGAACCAAGCATGTGCTCGCATGCAAGTATATAATGCATATCGGTAAGTTACTGTGTAACCATGATATGTACCTCGAATGAAAACATCAAAGGAGTTACTGTAGGTTGGATTATCATAACATGGCATGGTATAAAAAGGACGGACAGCCAAAGGGTACCGGTGGAGTATGTAGAACTCTGTGTCATACCTACAATGAGCAAAACAGATGAATATAAGGTTCAGGAAGTTTGCACATACGTGAATGTGAACAAGTAACTGTAAAATGAATTGTGCTAATAGAAAATGACATACTTTTCCTTTACAAGCTCCCCCAACTTTCTTTCATTTTCGGTGTTCAGATCACAAAGGGGATCAACATTAACCCCAGCTTCCTGCACAAACACACACAATATAACAATCATTCGGCATCTCAATCTCACGATACATGATCATGATATAAACCATTACTCCAGTGATTGCATGAAATGTGATACAGTCATATCTAAGTATAAAAAATTGCTTTGACAAGAAAACTAGTACTCATCTGATTTGAGGGTCAAATTCCAACTGAAAAAAATATAAGGTGACTGTGTTATGGAAAAAGAAATCATCTATTTCAATTTGGCAAATTAAATTAAATATGTTACACATATATTATATCATCATAATCCATCATACCTCGAGCATTTTGATCCCTTCTTCAAATGTAAGGCGCAAAGTCTTTGGCAAGTACTGTAATTTGACAAATATCGAAGTCAGATATGATTTCATCAACGTAAATAACGTAGGTGCACAATTAACAGCCTGTTGACTGGCACTTTATGTAATAAAATTAAATCAACGTGTACATAAACTTTCTCTGTAAATAATTCTAATAAACTAACCTTCAAGGGCTTGAATGGATATTGTCTGTTAATTGCCTCGAGCTGCTTTTGACAGTTCTTATTTAAACTATCGAACATCGACACAAACAACTCACCAACAATATCCATGACCTGCATTAACGAATTAAGACATGAATAATATCCATTGCAAGGAAATCTTCAGCTTTAGACAATTTTAGCGTACCTCTGAATAGTGTTCCTTGATTTCCATTTCCACGTCAAGGCCTACGAACTCACACAAATGTCTATGAGTGAATGAACGCTCAGCTCTGAAAACAGGCCCTATCTCATAGACACGCCCGAAATCAGCACAAATAGCCATTTGTTTGTGCAGCTGAGGTGACTGAGCCAGACAAGCAGGTGTCCCCATGTAATCCAGTTTGAAAACAGCCGAACCCCCCTCACTAGAACCAGGCATCAGCTTAGGTGTATGTAGTGCAATAAAATCTTTAGCTCGCAAATATTGCTCAAAAAACTGCACAATAAGTAGTTCATTAAAGGTGGTCAGAATCAGTAAAGTAGATCGTCCGCACGTCATACGCCTTGTAGCAAAATATTCTACATGACAAAACAGCTTCATTAGACAAATGAAGAAGAGGTGAAGAACAAGAACCATTAAGTACAAGCACCAGTAACAAGCATGTCCGGAGTTACAAATATGACAGAACGACATCAGACAAATGTAAAAGAACAAGAAGCACTAGGTACTGTTGCTAGGTACTGCTGAATGTTAGGAGGCTGAGCAGAAAAATAAACAAACTTAAAAATTAGAGTTTTGCAGCTGTATTGAAGAAGACAAATCAACTTTCAGGGATAATTGACGAAACGCTTGAAAAAGCAACACCGAAGAAAAGTAAACAGTTATGCATAGCAAAAATCAGCTTTTCATCACAAAAAGTAGTCTGCAGGCAAGAGACACTTAAAAGTAAGCAGACCTACCATCCCAACTTCACTCTGAAGGCGGAATATTGCCTGGTTTGCAGGAGTACGCAAGTCCAGGACCCTGTTATTCAAACGCGTGTCTTGATTAACACGAATAACTGGTTCACCAGCCTGCAATCCAAAAACATATCAGATAAACATGCACCAAACAATTACATGGCCTACTTTCCAAATAAAGGAACTGTACCTGCTCAGCTTTCACAATTTCAGTTTCACTTCTCGCAGCATCATCTATGTTAACAGGTAGGACTGGCTCCGCATTGCTTATGGCATAAATTTTGGTAACATGAACTTCAACCTAAAAAAGGACCAAGCAGAGAATTATCACTTGACAAGAATTGTCTTAAAGTAAATAAACTACAATTTGAAAACATTGTTAATAATACTACTGAGCAATGCATTTGCATAATGGTGATACTTTCCAACCTCAAAAAACCAACAAGTACAATCACTCTGTACTTTCATGAATAAATAACCCTTGAAGGGAAAAACAACTCAAAATCAATCCCATTCTATGAATTTTCAAAAAATCCACAACCAACTGTACCTACAATAGACCAGAACGCCAATACATGAAAAACCAAGATAGAATTACAATGTTTAATAATGTGAGGCTGACTATCTTTACAAGTTGATGCTAAATACTGAGCTATGCAACCGACTCCTCAATTCTCCATTCTCGTAATACATTTAAAGCAGTAAAAGTTCAATAAACATAAACAAATGTACCTTTTGAGTAGTACTTTCAACAGGAACTTTGGGCACAGAAACTACCCCTTCAACATCAATGATAGACTCAGTACTCAGGGCAGTGGCGTATTTTACCATCTGGGGGCTCACAACGTCAGGTTTAACATTCAGCACACATTGCACGGTGAAGCCCCTTTCCCTCACTACCAAAAAGGCCAACTTACCCTTCCCCCTTTTAGCCTGCAACCTACCTCTAAAAAGGACCACCTGGCCCTCAAATCCTGCCTCGAGTTTACCAACTTCTGTCCATTTGCGCCCTGTAACAGCCTTGGACTGAAGCTCGTTAAGCGGCACGTCGCCGTAATTAGCTGCCAAAGGGTCTTCAGAGGCAGGAGCAGCAGCACCGGAATTTGCAGCGGCAGCGGCTTTCAGCTCTTGCTTCTTACGCAAACGATCCAGCTTGGCTGCCTCCTTCTTGGACATTTTCTTCCCTCCTTCTGACTCCCCTTCTGCATCCAAGGCCATGGTGGAAAATTGTTCAGAATTGTCTTCAGGGGCTGGAGTGGGATTCTGTTCAGATGCTTCAGACATTGTTGATTCTGAGGACAAATATTGCAGAGTTACATTCTGAAAACTTTGGAAGATTCCGAAAATAAACTTTCATACTTTAAAGAGAAGATGCAAGAAACAGAGACCAAACAAAGGGCAACAGATACATTGCAATCAGAAACGAGAAAAAAAAAAAAAAAAACTTGGAACAAAATTTGAACACGTAAAATGCCATATATATTTCACACGCATAAAGCACAAATGTCATTACTTAACAAAGTCATTCTTACTAAACTTGCTTGCTAACTCTCGCAAAACAATACACAAGTACAAAATCAGTTTAACCCTACAAAAATCAGATCCTAAACTACTGTCTGACTAAAAAATTTCCAATGAAATCACAAATCATAACAAGCACTACGACCAGCTGCAAACTTAAAAGTAGGAAGTCAACAAAACAAACTCTAGAGATTACAGATACACATCCTGAAACAATCTGATGGAAACCGTCGAAGAATCTGAATATAACAAGAAACTGAGAAAGCAAGAAACTTGCGCAAAACAAAGATTGGGAAAAAAAAAAAGCCTGAAAATACTTTGAAGCAAAACATCGAACATGTCGTATGCCCAATTTCCCATACACATAAAAGCAAAAAATAAGCACAAAAACTCATCAATTCACGAAGCCATTCTTACTCAACTTGCCTGACAACTCCCGCAAAAAGATATACAAGGACAAAATCAGTTTTTATCATAAGAATCAAGAAGTTAAAGAAAAAAGAAGAAAAAAAAAACAAAACTAATCCGAAAGCAACAAAATGTAGCTGAGACAGATTAATTAAAAATCGAAAATTCTTCGGTTCGGAGAAGGAAATTGAGTGCACCTATTGCGTGGTACTGGTAAGGTCCTCTGAGATTACACCGGCGGCGATGGCGGATTGCAATTTGCAAGACGAAGGCGCGAATAATACTCAAAATAAAAATATAAATAGAAAGAAAAACAATTCTGACTTGGAAAACAAGATATAGAAAGTCTGAAAGACTCGAAACCACGGGCTCAAAACGGGCTACTAAAAATGATGTGCGTCTGCGTCACTTTACCGGAACTTGGGCTTGTAATTGGTCCCTTTGGTTTTGGTCTTTGGAAATTCATACAGTCACTATCTTCGTGTTCTTTTTTATTTTCCTTATAAATTCTTTGCGGTGTTACTTTTCTCAGTTCAAAAATTATTTACTTACAATTCGTTTTGAATAATTTTACCCCTGAACTTTTTTTTCTTCTCCAACATATACTAATTATAATAATTACAAATAAATTTATCTAAATTAATTGAACAATAACACAAAATATAAAACTAAAGTAATTATACAAAAAAATAATAATAACAAAAAAATAATATAAAATAACACAAAAAATTGGAAAAAAAAAAAAAGGTAAGGGTGGCCGGCCGACCTTTTGAAGGTTGGCCGGTGAGTAAACCGGCCAACCGAGAAGAAGTGGCCGACCCATCGAGTGACCACTTCTTCCTCGTTGGGTGGTGAATAAACCGGCCAACCTTCAAAATGTGGTCGGCCGGACAACCGGTCACCCTGGGCAAACAAAAAAAAAAAAATTCAATTTTTTTAAGGCTCTGTTTGGTTGCATTGAATTGGGACCAAGAATTGAAATTGGAGCTCTTTAATTTCAATTCTTGTGTTTGGTTGAAAAATAGATGTCCAAGAATTAGAATTATAATTCAAGATGGGACTCAATTCTTTATTTTCAATTCTTTTGTAGGAGCAAATAATTGGAATCCAAATTCAAGAGACTTAAAAAAAACACGCGGGTCATAACCAGGTTATAACCTAAACGGGCCGCCCTATCATTTTTTGTCTTTTGACCTTTTTTTTCTTTTGCCTTTTGACCTTTTTTAATATTTTTTGTTATTTTAATTTTATTTTTTCAGCACTGCTTTTTTCTTTTTCTTTTTTACTTTCAGTGGTTACGGACGTTTTTTTTGTCTTTGTTTTTTTTTTTTTGCCTTTTTGTCTCATTATTATTATTTCATAGATATCAATTTAATATTTATCAACAAAATCAATCTAAAATTAACATTGTATCTTTTTTACAAAAAAAAAAATCAAAAGTATAATTTTACCAAAAAAAATTAATAACTAAATATTTTAGTTTTGGATTAAAATTTATATTATATTTTGACATAGTAAACAACATAACATTTTCAAAAAAAAATTATAGAAATTGTTCCATATATACACCTATATTATAATACATATATATATAAATTTTAAACTATTCATGACATCTTTTCACCAAAAATTATGTAAGTTGAGTTTTAAGTATCTATTATTTCATAAATATATGAAAAAAAACTTAAGCATATATATACTAATGTTAATCTATATATAAATGAACATCAATATTCATAAACTGAATTTACAATATTATATAGTAAAATTTTTTTAATTTTTGATATAAATCAAAACATCAAAAGTAAAAAATTTTGAAAAATAATAAAAGAGAGGAAAACAAGGATGTTTTACATGTTACTTGTTTGTGTATTAAGTGAGAATTTTAAGTATCATATTGATAATTCTTATACGTAATACTCCCTCTGTCCCAAAAAAAAAAGTCCACATTGAGTTTTGACTTTTGTAATATTTTTAGTACAAATTTAAAAACTCAATATGGACTAATTTTTTAGGACGGAGGTAGTAATATTTCTTTTGTTTCCAACAAAAACTATGTGTACATAATAAATTACAAAATTGATTTAGCAAATTAATTAGAAATAATAATTTGTTTTAACAAAAAAAATAAAAATTGTATTAGTTAAACAACCACAAAGTAGTCAAATATACATGTAATAGTGAATTTATTTATTTTTTTGTGATATACATATCCATATAAATTAATTATTTTTTATTTTTTGACAAGAGGTATAAATTGTACTAGAATTAATTATACAATAACAAACAAATTTCAATCCTAAAGTATCCAAATTTTTATGCATCCAAACGCAAGAATTGGAATTAGAACCTTAATTCTAGTAAATTTTCAAGATCTCTCAAACAAAGGAATTGAGATTGAATTGCAATATTAATATATCATTTTCAATTCAATATTATTGTAATTCTAATTCAATTGCAATTCAATCAAACCAAACAGAGCCTTTTTTTGTGTAATTGTTATTATTTTTTTATATTTACCTTAAGTTTATTTTTTGTGTTATATTTACTGATTGAATAACATTTTTAATTTAATTGAATTCATTAGGTATAATTAATTTATTTTAATAATTAATGTAGATTAAATGGAGAAACTAGGTATGACAAGTTTTTTTTATTATTATAATTTATTTTTTATATTCAAATAAAGAATGCACTAGATATTCTATTAAAATTATATGATAAATACATTTTGAGTAGGTTTTTGTAATTATGTATGTGGTATTTAGTTAGTATTAATTTGTAGGCTTTAATAATTATTTTTTACGTAAATGAATTAGTTGTTTTTGTTATATTTTGAGTAAATTAATTACAACTAAATAACACAACATACACTAATTAAATTAATTATAAATAAATTTAACTAAATTAATTGAACAATAACAAAAAATATAAAACTAAAGTAATTATACAAAAAAATAATGATAACAAAAAAAAAATATAAAAATAACACAAAAAAAAAGGTATTGTCCAGGGTGGCCGGCCGTCAGAGGTTGGCCGGTTTACTCACCGGCTAACCGGGAAGAAGTGGCTGACCCAACAAGTGGCCACTTCTTCGCGGTTGGCCGGTGAGTAAACTGGCCAACCTTCAAAGGGTGGCCAGCCTTAAATTTTTTTGTGTAATTGTCATTATTTTTTTATATTTACTTTAGTTTTATTTTTTGTGTTATATTTACTGATTTAATAATATTTTTAATTTAATTAAATTTACTAGGTATAATTAATTTAATTTAGTGATTAGTATAGATTAAATGCAGAAATTGGGTATAATAATTTTTTTATTATTATTATAATTTATTTGTTATATTCAAATAAAGAATGCTCTAGATATTATATTAAAATTATATGATAAATATATTTTGAGTAGGTTTTGTAATTAGGTAAAGGTTCAAGGACAAAATTGTCCAAAACGAACTGTAAATCAGTGTTTTGTGAACTGTGAAAAGCAATTCAGATTGTGTATGAATATATATTATAATTTTAGACTCCTTTTAATCGTTTATTTTATTCAAAATAGATCCATTTTTGTTTGAGAATTATAAATAGAATATTCATAGAAGCTATCTTAGTTGGATGTTGAGTATGAAACTAAAATTGCATTCTATATATATTAGTATTATGCCCGCACATGGTGCGGATTTTACTATATTTTAGAGTAATGTTAATATACTATTATTTTCCTATGAAAAATGTCATATGTTTTAGTTTTTCCGTTTTTTGGTATATTACAAGGTGCTTGGTATGGGGGTTTCATTCTGAGTATATGCCTTTGAATCCATTTGATGGTGCTTGGTTGATAAGGAATGATTCCAGTACAGTGGTTTGGTAGGATTTCAAACCCAATTTTTCACTCCACATGAATTTGGTGGGTTTGGAGAAATTACTCATGATAAAACAAAATTTCCTCCCTTTACCCCTATATTTTTCTCTCACCAACGCTTTGTCACAGCGGCACGCCTCCTGCGTCTCTACCTCAGAGGTCTCTTCTTCTTCATAATTCTTTCTTCCTCAATTTCAGATATGTAGGCCAGATTGAAGAGCGGACAGCATATTACCACCACAAATCCTGATTATCAGAAAATTTTTTGCCACCAATAGAATCCCAATTTATTAAGAAGAATATAGTCGCCTCACGCATCCACCGCTAGCCAATCCTCCGTGGTTCTTACCCTTTGAAAACGAAAAGGCTTTTTTTTTCCTTAATTTTAAATCTGTTGATTTCATTTTATGGTGTCTTTTCTATCGCATGAAAATGAAATAGAGTTAAAGATTTGAATATTTTGGGTTTTGTGGTAAATGGTTGTGAATTATTTGAT